AAGGCGTCTTCCCTTGGGAGAGCCGACGGATCCATCCGAGCCGAGGATCGCTGCTGGCCGAGCGATGAACCCCCTCGCCTGCCTCGTCCCCCATTTATTTGTGCGGGGGGGGGCGCGTCGGTCCCTCTCACGCGCTTCCCCTACTTTACGATCTCCCCAGCGCGGAACGCATACAACACCCGTACATACACACAGGAACACACCTCGAAGCGCCGCGGCGAGCCCACCCAGCAAAAGATGCCAGCAAACTCCGCTTTCCTCCCGCAAAAAGCCATCATATAAAATAACTACACAAAGCGATCTCGCCGCGCGTGGAGCTGCAAAGCTGCCCCAGCAAAGCCCAGCAGGCAGGCTGGCCTCGGAGCTCAGGAGAACTGAACATCGCCCTGAGTTATGCGTGTGCTTTGCGCTGTGTGTATGTGTGCAAATGCATCGCTCCCTTGTAATGGGGCGCAACTCGTGCGGAGTCAAGCTTGGGAAACCGGCGGAAGAAGCCGGGCACTGCGATCCGTGGATCCCCCTGTTCGCAACCCCCATTTTCCGCGTCTCCCACCCTACCACCACGGCTGCAGGGAAACACAGCCAAAAACAAAAGCGTCTCCTGGGCGAGCCCGAAGAGGAAAGTTAGACGGCGTGACTTACAGCCTGGATCGGAGCTTGCTTCGGCTCTGCCTGCCATCATTACATTCCACACGGACGAGAGCCCTCGCCGGATCTCGGGGCTCCCTGCCTTCCGCGCTCGCCGGTTGCCCCCGCCGCCGCCGCTGCTGCCCAGCATGAATGGGATCGAAGGCAGCGCAGGGTTTCAATGGAACGCCAGCCTCGATCTGACTTCCCAGGGAGACAGACGGAGACACACATTCGGAAGGGGCTGCGGTCGCTACTTGGCGCGCCCGCCCTCGGTTTGGCCTCTAGAGGGCGCCCACACCTGTGCGCAGACCCGCGCGCTAGAGGAGGAGAGGAGGGAATGAAGAACGGGAGAAGGGAGGCCCAGGAGCCCAAGGAGGCGGGCGCGCTCTTAAAAGGGCGATGCCGCCCGGCCGAGCCTTAAAAGAGGTAACGCACGTGCGGCCGAGAAGACTCGAGGAAGCCGCCGGAAGAATGCGTGACTGGAAAGGGAGCGGCGTCCGACCCTAAGCGCGCTTTGCCTGTGCAGAGGGAGCCGGTCCAAAATATCCGGGGGTTGAGGCCGAACGGCAGTCGAATTAGCCACCTACCTCATTATCTTATTGAAATAAAAGCTGGCCGTGTGGTGCGAACAAAATAAAATACAAATGAAAAAATAGGCGATGCATTTATCGACCACGCCATAAAGGTCTATAAAGGTATCGCCTAATTATCCTAGTACTGTATATTGTATTTAAAGCCAGCGGGGCTTAGTTTGGCGCGTGAACCAAAAATCCTTACCCGTGGCGGTAAAAATACAATACAGTGAGAAGTCAAAGAGCCCCTTCACCACCCCCAAAATCTGTTGCCCGAGGCAGGCGCTTCGTTCACTGTGGCTACTGGCAGAGCTGGCCCTTGCCGGGGTCAACACCACCTCTTCCACTTTCCCGCTATTCCATTGTAAGAAATATGATGATACTCGCATGCCCATTTTAAAAATATGAACAGGCAAGCTTATACTGCAACCTTATACTGTAGGTAAAGTCCCAATCCTACTAGATATCACACATTTAGGGGACGCCTAGATGGAGTTTTTCAAATGAAGAAAAAAGATTAACTAAAATGTTGAACGGTGTTTCTTTTTTAAATCGGTTAATGTGTCATTAACAACATTCACAATGATAATACTCCAGGCTAAACAGCATTTGGACTCTCACTTTGTGAAAAATGTAGTCAAAACTTCATAATACGTTTCATTTAATAATACTGTGTTTGTTTATTAGTTTTCCTATTAAATAATAGGAAATCATGGCTACAGACAATAAAAAGACAAATAAAATCCAAATAACCCTATAAAGTAAATTAAAAAGCTGTAACAGCAATATATTAGCAGTCAGAAATCTATGTGTATGTTTTCTCAGAAGTAAATTGCTTTGTGTAGAATGGGTCACCATAACTCAGAATTCATTTGATGCCATGCAATTATTATAATTAGACTAGCCCTTACTCACAGGTGAATCTGTATAGGATTGTGTTGTTCCAAATCTCAAGGTGGTTCTAGACCATCTTAGTCAAAACCCAAATGTCCTAAACTTTTGCACAATTAGCCCTACACCAAGATTCCCCCAAAGCCAGATAGAAAATCTCAACTGCATTATTAGATGCTTTGCCCCAGAAACAGAATGCTTAAAAATCTGATTCACCCGAAGCTTCTTTCTTTTATAAATCACTTGCTACAGCTCAGCCCACCTCCCATTGATTTTTATAGAGCAGGGTTAGGTTGAGATCCAAAGCATATTTCCTGGGAAGGAAATTCTGTTGAAATAGGATTTTCTTCCCATTTAGAATTAGAGCATAAAAGAGTAAGGGTCCAAGAGATGCAATTTATCTTTCAGGTTTTGATAGTTCAGAAGGACTAAGGGGGATTTTTGAAAAGCCACATTTCTCCACTAGTCTCTCTCTCTCCCCTCTATGCTTAAAGCACCAACAGCAAGTAAGAAAAAGAAGCTTCTTATTGGCACTCTAACTAGGCTAAGGTGTTAAAAATAGGTACCTTACAGCATTTCATATACTGTATTAGACTCTCTGTGTGAAGGCGAGCACCACCTATGGTAAAATGAAAATAGAAGAGGCACCCAAGCAAGCAAGCGAGCGAGCAAATACACAGGAGAACAACATCTCTATAATGTTATATTTCACATTTGCCAAAAAAAGAGAAGAAAAATCGAAGTACTGCACTTGTGGTGGAGATCTGACTATTTGTGGTGAGTGGTTCTCAGACACCTTGAACGGAGCAGGTGGTGAGCAAAGTGTGCTTGCTGATAGGGCTGTATGTGCCCTCAGCTTTTGTTGTCCAAGCTTTACCCACTTCTTTCCCAGTAAAAGAGATGAGCTGCAGCTGTGGAAGTCCCCTCGAGTGGAGAAAAACTCTCCCACCCCCATTGTTTTAGCCTAATGCCATTTTTCAAAAATGAAAATGGGATCCCAAGTACTTCCAGTTCTATGTGTGCGTGCGTGCGTCCATGCGTGCGTGCGTGCGTGCGTGTGTGTGTGTGTGTGTGTGTGTGTGTGTGTGTGCGCGCGCGCGCGCGTGCAGCCCCTTGGGGACAGAAAATTAGTCCTTGGGCTGCCAGTGTTGCCTTGTTGTAAGCATTTCCCTCATAGAGTTCAGTTTAGCCCTCTCAATCTCCACATTTCTCATCCAATATTATACATGCCCACACTCAATATCTATATACAGAAGAAAGGGACAAAATGTGTACCACAAGGGGATTTTTGTGGCCCGAAACATCTCCCACACCACCAAACCAAATGTGGGTTTTTAAAAATGCTTTTTTTTTAAACTCAAAAAGTCCCTTGTGACCTGTAGGAGACAAGTATGGGCTTGTCTACGAGGCCTATTCTGGAACAGACTGATGCAGGCTATATATGGTCACTTGGAGTCAGGTAGAGTTCGGGTATACCATTTAATGCAATTCTCAAGCAAACCTATTTGATTCTCCTTTCACTGGGAATTGCCCACATCATGGGGTGGCTTAAGAAGACTTCATGCCACTTCATGATAATAACTAGAAGCCAACATTAATTTGTCAAGAACAAATCCTGCCAGATCAAGTAGCCTACCTGATAGGCAAAGGGAATGCTGTACACATAGTATATCTTGACTTCAGCAAAGCTTTTGACGAAGTGCCCCATGATATTATGATTAGCAAATTAACTAGGTGTGGGCTGGACAGAACAACTGTCAGGTGGATACACAGTTGGCTACATAATTGTACTTGGAGCATGATGATTTATGGCTCCTTCTCTAGCTGGGAGGAGGTAACAAGTGGGGTACCCCAGGGCTCAGTTCTGGGCCCAGTACTATTCAACATTTTTATTAATGACAAGGATCAGGGGATACAGGGAAAGCTTATCAAACTTGCAGCTGATATATATAATTGGGTGGAATAGCCAACAACTTGGAAGTCAGAAATAAAATTCAAAATGATTTACATAGGTTTGAGCACTGGCCTGAAAACCACAGAATGAAATTCAACAGGGATAAGTGCAAAGTGCTCCTCCTAGGAAAAAGAAAGAAAAAACACAATTACAAGCTGGGGATACCTGGCTCAGCAATACTACAAGCAAGAAGGATTTTAGAGTCATTGTAGATCACAAGGTATATATCAGCCAACAACATGATGTGGCTACAGAAAAGGCAAATGCTAATTTTAGCCTGCATTAAGAGACTATAGTGTCCAAATCCCACAAGGTGCTGGACAACCACCTGGCAGATAGCCTTTGATTTGTATTCCTGCACTGAGCAGAGGGTTGGACTCGAGGGCCTTATAGGCCCCTTCGAACTTCATGATTCTATGAGTCTATGAAATATTAAGAGATTAGCAGATAAAACACTTCGTCTTTTCTGCAGAGGGGCAGAGGAAAGGAAAGCAAAAAAGCAAGGTGTGCTGCTTATATACCACCCCATAGTACTTCAAGCAGTCTCTGGGTGGTTTATAAACTAATTATGCTCGCTACATGTTCCCCCCCCCCGCGAGCTGGGTACTCAGTGAGCAGATGAAAGAAAAATGTTTTCCTGAGGAGTACATGTCTGAAGCACCAAAGAGGGACACCCCTAAATTACATGAGAAGAGGTGCAGCCGTCCCCCTCGCAACATTAATGGCTATGTACATTCGTCATTAATTATTACTATAAAAAAACAACAACTTTGTTTGGTCATGTCTTGCTTTTTGCACTCTTGCTTTCCTTTAATGTTCTCCTTGAGGGTGTTAAATCATATAATTCTCCATTTCTTTTATATTGAGGTGGACATACTTCCCCCTTCCTTGGATTAGTAGTAGATCCACATTCACAGTGCATGCAGCCCAAAAATGTTGAGAACCCACTATGGATCCCAACAAGAGGGCAAGAATCATGTATTTGCATGCGAGTTATAGTCTCCCATTTACACTCACGTCAGCAAGTGCTGATTAGCAACCCATAGCTGTACATTTCATGAATACATTCAGTTAAAGGCACTTTCCAAGAGTTGTTCCACGTCTTTTCTCCTCAGCACCTATCTCATTCACTGAATATTACAAAGGGTTTCAGATAATCATGTCCTCTACTTATACCCCCACGCCTTATTATTCTATTATATTTTTTCTTACCATGGAAATCTGAGTAAGAGGAAAAAACCAAATAGTTACATTTGTCCTTCTAATTGCTACTGTGAATGAGAAACTTTCCGTCTGAAAATGCCTTAAGAGTAACAGGCCTTTTCTGGGTGTTCTTCTATAATCTTTGATATTTTAGGCATCTAGCCATAGTTAGATAAAGGAAAGCATATGCCCGAGGTCACATTCAAGGTCAGTGGGGGGGGTGTTCCCTCTCTGCCCTAGTTGCAAAACAGGATGTGGTGAGCTCTGTGATCACCTCTTGGCCTAAAGACCACCAAAAATTAGAATCATAGAATAATTGAGTTGAAAGGGTCCTCTAAGGTCATCTAGTCCAACTCCCTGCTCAAGGCAGGAATCCAAATCAAAGCAGATCTGACAGGTGGCTGTCTAGTTTTCTCTTTAATGCCTCCAGCCTTAGAAGGCTTACCACCCCCTGAGGTAACTGATTCCATTGTTGTACTGTTCTAATGGTTAGGATGTTTTTTTCTGATATTTTAACAAACAAAGCTGCCTTCCTGTGAGCCCACTATTATCTGTCCTGTACTCTGAGATGATTGAAAACAGATCTTGCCCCTTCTCTGTATGACAATATTTCAAGTATTTGAAAAGTGCTATCATATCTCCCCTCAGTCTTCTTTTCTCAAGAGTAAACATGCCCAGTTCTTTCACTCTTTC